CATGTATGTGTAGTGTGACCTAAGTGTAAGTAGAAGTAGCAAGACGTACCTGAAATCTTGCATGTTTATGAGACAGACAAAAGACACCAGCAATCCTACCATCATGTAAAACAATTACAGGTTTCCGTTTTACACTCACTTGGCAGGACGGTAGTACCTCCCTGGGCGGTTGCTGTCTACCAACCTACTACCTAGGAAACAAATAATTATTGTAACTAAATACACCTGCCATCTGACTTACGACTTGCTCGACATACGACCACTCGACTTATGACCATATTTTTTATGCCAAATTTCTGGGAAATAAACAAGTGTTTGTGTTGTACACAGTATAAAATACAGTATTAATGGCATAAAAAGTAAAGTAAAAAAGAAATACTAAAATAAAACAAAATAAAATCATTACAAAAGTGTGATGTTGATATTCAGTCGTAAGTTTTGACTTACGTCCATTTTGACTTACGACTGGTTGGTCGGAACAAAGCTTGGTCGTAAGTCGGATGGTACCTGTACCTGTATTGAAAAGTCAATAAATGAATACAAGTTTACCCTGTCAATGAATGTATAGCACTGTACAGTAGTGTAAACTACTGACTGTGCTTACCTATCACACCATCGTAAAGTTGAAATATCCTAAGTTGAACCATCGTAAAGTTGAAATATCCTAAGTCGAGCCATCGTAAGTTGGAATGTCCTAAGTTGAATCATCATTAAGCTGAAATATCCTAAGTCAAACCATTGTAAAGTTGACATATCCTAAGTGGAACCATTGTAAGGCGAGAAACATCTGCAGTTGATGGTTCAAATTAGAGAGAGAAGCATTCACTAGGTACTTTCTGCGATGTTTATGTTATTTGTGTGTGGACCATTACACCAAACTATCACTGTATCCCCGGTGCTGGAATTTGTGCACAGGCCTGGTCTCAGACCGGGCCACAGAGGCGCTGACCCCCGAAACCTTCTCCAGGTATACTTGTACTGCACGGTGAAATTTGTTGGCTCATGCCTATTAGTAGGCCTAAATGAGAGAGTAGGCCTCCACATAAGGTGTAGAATATTTGACCATCGCAACAGGTAGGTTAATGGCTATGTTGGTAGAGGTGGCTTTTGCTTACTAAGAAGGTATGGATGGTTGGTGCCTAGGGTCAATGTTGCGAGTAGTTTGTTGTTAGTTGAGGTACAACCTTACTTTATGACCAAGCTATGACATGACCCCTGCAACCACAAAAACCTGAGTACAAATTGGTTGGTACACAAACACACACACACAACACAGTTCTCTTATAAAGTTCCACTATATACAGACACTTCACTTATAAAGATCCTCTATATACAGTCAGTCTCCTAATGTATCTCCTCATGTAGTCAGTTCTCTTATAAAGTTCCACTATATAGACAGGTGCTCCTTGACTTAACAATGTGTTAAGTTCTGATGCCTCATAAGTCAAAAATATCTGAAGTCAAACATGAATATACAATAAACAAGTAAATACAGTAGATAGTTGATTAATATGTCTTTGGTCTCTGTTACCCTGTAAACATATGACAGGTTATCTGATCCTGTACAATACCTATGTAAATATATGACAGGTTATCTGACCCTGTACAATACCTGTGTAAACAATGACAGGTTATCTGACCCTGTACAATACCTGTGTAAACAATGACAAGTTATCTGACCCTGTACAATACCTGTGTAAACAATGACAAGTTATCTGACCCTGTACAATACCTGTACATACATGACAGGCTATCTGACCCTGTACAATTTTTACTAGAACATAATACATACTACTATACAGAAAGCCCCTGGCTATGCAGAGCATTTCGAGCAAATTAGGCTAATTTTGTCCCAGGATGCAACCCATACAAGTCCACTAACACCCATGTACCCACTTACTGCTAGGTGAACAGTGATAGGTGTCTTAAACAACATGTCCCAATATTTCCACCCATACCTGGAATTGAACCCCAAACCTCAACATGTGAGCTGATATCCACTACCAACCCAACTATGGAACATCTGTTTGGTTAAAGTTGTGACAACCCAGGGTTGTTGTGGCAACCTCAGGGTCACCATGACGACCCCAGGGTCATTGTGACTACCCCAGGGTCATTGTGATGACCCTAGAGTTGTTGTATCTCTCACTGCTGTGAAATTAACTACCAGAATGCTTTTGCAAATACAGTGGACCCCCGGCATTCGATGGCATCAGTATACATTAAATCCGGCATACGATACATTTTAACGCAAAAATTTTGCCTCACCACTCGTTAAAAAACCCGCCACACGTGATTCGTCTGGGACGCGTCCACATGTGGCCTGAACTGCCCCATGCGTGCCAGTGTTCACAAGCCAGCCAGTGTGCTCACATCTAAGCGTACATTCAGTACATTCCATATTATCACAGCGTTTTTGGTGCTTGTTTCTGCAAAATAAGTCACCATGGGCCCCAAGAAAGCTTCTAGTGCCAACCCTGTGGTAAAAAGGGTGAGAATTAGTATGGAAATTAAGAAAGATTTTGAAGGGTTTGGGGCTAACCCTGAGAAGCCTATGCCAGTTGTGGAATCCATTGTGCCCCACTTCAAAAATTAAGGAAATGTGTGCAAAGTGGGTTGAACTGCAAACCTTTATGGATGAAAATCACCCTAACACAGCTATTACAAGCCGTACTGGTGACTATTACAATGACAATGTTGTGGCCCATTTTAGACAAATTTTAAAGGAACAGGAGGTACAGAGCTCTATGGACAGATTTGTTGTGCGACAGAGGTCCAGTGACTCTCAAGCTGGTCCTAGTGGCATTAAAAGAAGAAGGGAAGTAACCCTGGAAAAGGACTTGCTACCTCAAGTCCTAATGGAAGGGGATTCCCCTTCTAAACATTAACAACTTCGACACTCTCCTCCTCCCATCCCATCAATCATCACCAGATCTTCATTAAAGGTAAGTGTCATGTATTCTACTGTTAGTAGAGTACTACAAACTGTGCATGTCTTCTTCAGTTTGTGTGCATTAAACTTAATATTTCATGTGGTAAAACTTTTTTCATAGTACTTTTGGGTGTCTTGCACGGATTAATTTGATTTCCATTATTTCTTATGGGGAAAATTAATTCACCTTCCGATAATTTTGGCATACAATGAGCTCTCAGGAACGGGTTAATATCGTATACCGGGGGTCCACTGTATAAACACACTATTTAGTACATAATAAATTTAATACAATAAAGGTATATAGTAAAATTATTATTTCCCCTTGCATTTTCAACAATAAAAATATCAGTATAAGAGTGAGTGCTTGTACTTTAGCATCCCTTAACACCACCATCACCACCTTCACACATCATAGTGTTTTTACTAGAAGTGTATCAGCTAAACTGATGTGCAAGTATATATGAAGTACTGTATACACATTGCATCCAGGTTCCTTTCATTTTTAACCATTATTATGCAAAGGAAGATAAGCAGAGGATATGGAGTAGTGCTCCGGTATCCCCAGCGGATACCTTCCAATAACTATCATGGATGCCAGAAACTGTGGATAGTAGTCAACTTTATATACATGTTATTTTTGGTTCATGATAAAGTTTAATTGATAAATTATACAAAATAAGTCCAGAATTATCACCTTTTCATTGACAGGAAGCACTTCACAACTTCTCTTTAGGCTTTTGCACTTTGGGGCCATTAAGCAAATTTAAGGCTTATTTTTGGGCCAAAGTAAACAGTGGATAACTGAAACCACTGATATCAAATCCGTGGATATGGGGGTCCTACTGTATAAACACTGGGAAGGTCCCTGTCATGGACTGATATACACAAATAACCCACACATAGAAGAGAGGAGCTTACGATGACGTTATTTGTGTATCGTTCCAGTCACGGTATTATGCCTTTTTTTTTTTGTTATATATGGACTGGTACAATTCATGTCTGACCTCCCAGTTTGTAAATAAACATCATCTCCAGCAAGCTCACAGCTGAGCACAGTAAGTACAGCCTCTCTTCACTTAACGACGGAGTTGCATTCCTAAGACCACGTTGGTAAATGAATTTGTCACTAAGTGAGGAGCATATTATAATGTTAGTGGGTTTGTGTCAACCATCTTTGATATTGTTTTAATGTCACCTTTGCACCATTTATAACATTACCGGTATATTTTTAAATGTTTATGCAATAGTGTACTGTATATTGTAATAAACAGAATAGAGGAAATGAGCTCTAACATACATTATTTAGATATGCATACTGGTCAGAGAGCCCGTCGTAAGTTCGAGTTGTCGGTAAACGAGTACGTCGCTAAGTGAGAAGAGGCTGTACACATAAGTACAATTATCATACGTAGTATAATTTACCTAGGATAATCCACAAAAGTCAAAGTGACTCAATGATACGAAAACAGTGCATGTATTGACCGGTATGCAGAAATCAACTGGATAAGTAAATATGCAAATAGGTACTGTAACTATAAATACAGTGGACCCCCACATAACGATATTATTTCAATCCAGAAGTCTGTTTGGGTGCCGTTATAGACCGAATTTGTTCCCATAAGAAATATTGTGAATTAGATTAGTCCATTTCAGACCCCTAAAAATATACCTACAAAAGCACTTACAAAAATAAACTTACATAATTGGTGGAGTTGGGAGCTGATGGTTATCCGGGGGTCCACTGTACTAGTATTGAAAAGTAAGTCAATGAAATGTTTACGCTGGTTATCACTACAGTGACTGAAAACAGGTATTGTTATCTGCCAGGAATGTACATAGCTATCGCACCATCGTAGAGTCAAAATATAATTATTGTAGTCAAAATATCATAAGATGAACCATCGTAGTCAAAATATCACAAGCTGAACCAAATAAAGTCAAAATATCATAAGCCAAACCATTGTAAAGCCAAGAGCACCTGTACAGTCAACTCCCTTACAAAGTTTTTCTATATAGAGGTGCTTTATAATAGAGCTGACTGTACCATTATCATTAAAGTTGTGGGGGATGGGGGGAAGCTCCATCAGCCTGGATCAAGAGCTCTGTGTTCCTCACCTTGTTCTTGTTATGTTGGTTATTAAATTCTAACATAGCTATCGTTTTAGCTGTTTGTCGTTTCTCTTCCTCGAACTGACGTAGAGCAAGAACGAGGCGCTCGTTCGTGGTGGTGTCAGCCACAAGACGCTCATTCGTGGTGGCATCAGCCATGAGGCGCTCGTTCGTGGTGGTGTCAGCCACGAGGCGCTCGTTCATGGCATTGTCAGCCACGACGCGCTCATTCGTGGCGTCATCAGCCACGTCTACTTGCGTCTGGAGGGCCGGATGGGCGGCCGCGGCCGGCCACAGCCTCTCATCCGACCCGGCAGGCCGGGCAGGCCTGGCCGCCGTCGCCGCAGCTTGCTGGCCAGCTTCGTCCATAGTCGCTTCAGCAACGCCAGCCCTTTCACTCTGCAAATGTTGCAACATCAAAACTCAATATTCCAAGCTAAAGTAACACACTGCAAGATATTGCTCCATTGCTTTTTAAATCAAATTCAAAATAATTACATCACAGGCAACTCTTTTTATAAAGCAGCTCTATATACTGGAACTTTATAAGAGAACTGACGGTATATAGTGGAACTTTATAAGAGAGCTGACGGTATATACTGGAACTTTATAAGAGAACTGACGGTATATAGTGGAACTTTATAAGAGAGCTGACTGTATATAGTGGAACTTTATAAATGATTACAGGAAGACAAAACAGTCAGAATTGTGTGTTTAACAAGTAAATATTATGAAACTAGACATTATACTCTGGAAGAATCCCCAAGAATCCCTTATCAGTGAAACTTCGACTTAACGAACCCCAATTACACGCATTTGGCATTACAACGGATGAAACATGAAATAGGATAATGTTCACAAACAATGGATAAACCATACCACGGGTGGGTTTAGAACCCGTGATCAGAGTCTCAAAACTCCAGACCGTTATCTTAGCCACTGGGCCAGCTAGCCACAATAAGATTCATCCAGCTAGGTATATTTATACACCACTGGAATGTTTGATGAATTTTATTGTGGTTAGCTGCCCCAGTGGCTAACATGATGGTCTGGAGTCTTGAGACTCTCTGATCGCGGGTTCTAACCCTGCCGGTGGTATGGTTTGTTTGTAATCACGTCATTACAATTTTGTGAGTCAAGCAATGGATAATTTGCATTTCCTTTAGCACTCTGAATGTGGATCAATGTAACTATGTTAGTACTCTGAATGTGGATCAATGTAACTATGTTAGTACTCTGAATGTGGATCAATGTAACTATGTTAGTACTCTGAATGTGGATCAATGTAGCTATGTTAGTACTCTGAATGTGGATCAATGTAACTATGTTAGTACTCTGAATGTGGATCAATGTAGCTATGTTAGTACTCTGAATGTGGATCAATGTAGCTATGTTAGTACTCTGAATGTGGATCAATGTAACTATGTTAGTACTCTGAATGTGGATCAATGTAGCTATGTTAGTACTCTGAATGTGGATCAATGTAGCTATGTTAGTACTCTGAATGTGGATCAATGTAGCTATGTTAGTACTCTGAATGTGGATCAATGTAGCTATGTTAGTACTCTGAATGTGGATCAATGTAGCTATGTTAGTACTCTGAATGTGGATCAATGTAGCTATGTTAGTACTCTGAATGTGGATCAATGTAGCTATGTTAGTACTCTGAATGTGGATCAATGTAGCTATGTTAGTACTCTGAATGTGGATCAATGTAGCTATGTTAGCACTACTAACACAGATCAATGTACCTACACTAGCACATCTGGTGTGGCTAGTGTGGTCACAACCACACCATCAACCATCACATCTTGTGTGGCTAGTGTGGTCAGAACCACACAATCAACCAGTACATCTGGTGTGGCTAGTGTGGTCACAACCACACAATCAACCAGTACATCTGGTGTGGCTAGTGTGGTCACAAACACACAATCAACCAGCACATCTGGTGTGGCTAGTGTGGTCAGAACCACACAATCAACCAGTACATCTGGTGTGGCTAGTGTGGTCACAACCACACAATCAACCAGCACATATGGTGTGGCTAGTGTGGTCACAACCACACATCAACCAGCACATTCTGTGTGGCTAGTGATGGTCAAACACACAATCAACGTACAATCTGGATGTGCTAGTGTGGTCACAACCACTACATAATCAACCAGCACACTCTTGTGTGCTAGTGATGGTCACACACACACAATCAACCGGGCAACCTCTGGTAGTGCTAGTGTGGACAACACAACCAATATCAACCAAGCACCTCTTGGTCATGGCTAGTTGGGTCACAACCACACATGCAACCAGTCACTCTAGGGATGGCTAGTGTGGTCACAACCAGAGCTATCAACCAGCACCTCTGGTTGTGCTAGTGTGGTCACAACCACATCACATCAACCAGCACTCTGGGGATGGCTAGTGTGGTCACAACCACACATCAACCAGCACATCTGTGTGGCTAGTGTGGTCACAACCCAAAATCAACCAGCACATCTGGTGTTGCTAGTGTGGTCACAACCACATAAATCAACCAGCACCTCTGGTGTGGCTAGTGTGGTCACAACACCAATCAACCAGCACCTCTGGTGTGGCTAGTGTGGTCACACACCACACAATCAACCAGCACCTCTGGTGTGGCTAGTGTGGTCACAACCACACACACCCACACCTCTGGTGTGGCTAGTGTGGCCCACAACCACACCATCAACCAGCACCTCTGGTGTGGCTAGTGTGGTCACAACCACACAATCAACCAGCACCTCTGGTGTGGCTAGTGTGGTCACAACCACACCATCAACCAGCACCTCTGGTGTGGCTAGTGTGGTCACAACCACACAATCAACCAGCACCTCTGGTGTGGCTAGTTGTGGTCACAACCACACCATCAACCAGAAACCTCTGGTGTGGCTAGTGTGGTCACAACCACACAATCAACCAGCACCTCTGGTGTGGCTAGTGTGGTCACAACCACACCATCAACCAGCACCTCTGGTGTGGCTAGTGTGGTCACAACCACATCAACCAGCACATCTGGTGTGGCTAGTGTGGTCACAACCACACAATCAACCAGCACTCTGGTGTGGCTAGTGTGGTCACAACCACACACAACCAGCACCTCTGGTGTGGCTAGTGGGGTCACAACCACACAATCAACCAGCACCTCTGGTGTGGCTAGTGTGGTCACAACCACACTCAACCAGCACCTCTGGTTGTGGCTAGTGTGTCACAACCACACATCAACCAGCACCTCTGGTGTGGCTAGTGTGGTCACAACCACACAATCAACCAGCACCTCTGTGTGGCTAGTGTGGTCACAACCACACATCAACCAGCATCTCTGGTGTGGCTAGTGTGGTCACAACCACACCAATCAACCAGCACCTACTGGTGTGGCTAGTGTGGTCACAACCACACAATCAACCAGCACTCTGGTGTGGCTAGTGTGGTCACACCACACATCAACCAGCACCTCTGGTGTGGCTAGTGTGGTCACAAACCACACACATCAACCAGCATCCTCTGGTGTGGCTAGTGTGGTCACAACACACATCAACCAGCACATCTGGTGTGGCTAGTGTGGTCACAACCACACATCAACCAGCACCTCTGGTGTGGCTAGTGTGGTCCACAACCACACATCAACCAGCACCTCTGGTGTGGCTAGTGTGGTCACAACCACACCATCAACCAGCACCTCTGGTGTGGCTAGTGTGGTCACAACCACACCATCAACCCAGCACCTCTGGTGTGGCTATGTGGTCACAACCACACCATCAACCCAGCACCTCTGGTGTGGCTAGTGTGGTCACAACCACACCATCAACCAGCACCTCTGGTGTGGCTAGTGTGGTCACAACCACATCAACCAGCACCTCTGGTGTGGCTAGTGTGGTCACAACCACACCATCAACCAGCACCTCTGTGTGGCTAGTGTGGTCACAAACCACACCATCAACCAGCACCTCTGGTGTGGCTAGTGTGGTCACAACCACACCATCAACCAGCACCTCTGGTGTGGCTAGTGTGGTCACAACCACACCATCAACCAGCACCTCTGGTGTGGCTAGTGTGGTCACAACCACACCATCAACCAGCACCTCTGGTGGGCTAGTGTGGTCACAACCACACCATCAACCAGCACCTCTGTGTGGCTAGTGTGGTCACAACCACACCATCAACCAGCACTCTGGTGTGGCTAGTGTGGTCACAACCACACAATCAACCAGCACCTCTGGTGTGGCTAGTGTGGTCACAACCACATCAACCAGCACCTCTGGTGTGGCTAGTGTGGTCACAACCACACCATCAACCAGCACCTCTGGTGTGGCTAGTGTGGTCACAACCACACATCAACCAGCACCTCTGGTTGTGGCTAGTGTGGTCACAACCACACCATCAACCAGCACCTCTGGTGTGGCTAGTGTGGTCACAACCACACCATCAACCAGCACCTCTGGTGTGGCTAGTGTGGTCACGACACCATCAACCAGCACCTCTGGTGTGGCTAGTGTGGTCACAACCACACCATCAACCAGCACCTCTGGTGTGGCTAGTGTGGTCACAACCACACCATCAACCAGCACCTCTGGTGTGGCTAGTGTGGTCACAACCACACCATCAACCAGCACCTCTGGTGTGGCTAGTGTGGTCACAACCACACCATCAACCAGCACCTCTGTGTGGCTAGTGTGGTCACAACCACACCATCAACCAGCACCTCTGGTGTGGCTAGTGTGGTCACAACCACACCATCAACCAGCACCCTGGTGTGGCTAGTGTGGTCACAACCACACCATCAACCAGCACCTCCGGTGTGGCTAGTGTGGTCACAACCACACCAATCAACCAGCACCTCTGGTGTGCTAGTGTGGTCACAACCACACCATCAACCAGCACCTCTGGTGTGGCTAGTGTGGTCACAACCACACCATCAACCAGCACCTCTGGTGTGGCTAGTGTGGTCACAACCACACCATCAACCAGCACCTCTGGTGTGGCTAGTGTGGTCACAACCACACCATCAACCAGCACCTCTGGTGTGGCTAGTGTGGTCACAACCACACCATCAACCAGCACCTCTGGTGTGGCTAGTGTGGTCACAACCACACCATCAACCAGCACCTCTGGTGTGGCTAGTGTGGTCACAACCACACCATCAACCAGCACCTCTGGTGTGGCTAGTGTGTCACAACCACACCATCAACCAGCACCTCTGTGTGGCTAGTGTGGTCACAACCACACCATCAACCAGCACCTCTGGTTGGCTAGTGTGGTCACAACCACACCATCAACCAGCACCTCTGGTGTGGCTAGTGTGGTCACAACCACACCATCAACCAGCACCTCTGGTGTGGCTAGTGTGGTCACAACCACACCATCAACCAGCACCTCTGGTGTGG